GCATATGTTTCCTTAAGGTCAGAACTCTTTACAAGTTTTTTTGGCTTCGGAAAAGCTAATGTTTTGGGTAAATTTGATCTTGTTAATTTGCATTTGTTCTTTCCAAATAGGACAATCTTTGGAGAAGGAGGAATGTTCGCCTGAGCAGTTGGTGCATTTTTTTAAAATCACTGGTACAATCTTCTGTTGTGTGTGTCTTCTCACCACAGTGAGCACACACAACAGACAATGTGCAAGTATTTACACCATGTCCATATTTCTGGCATTTAAAACACCTGAGCGGGTTAGGGATGTAGGTGTCAACTTGGACGTTACAATAACCTGCCTTCAGTGATTTGGGAGCATTTGGGCATGAAAAGGAAAACAGATATGTATTAGTTTTGAAAGTTTCATTGTTTTTCCGAGTTGTAAAACGTTTGACATAAAGCACGCCTTGGTCCTTCATTTCAGACACTATGTCAAGTTCTGACATGTCAGCAAACAATCTGTCACGATCTCTGACAATGCCTTTGCTCGTGTTGAGTGTTTTGTGAGCAGTGACCGTGACCGGAATACCGACAAAGGTTTTCGTGCTCAGAAGGTTCGTGGCTTGATGTCTTTTCGCACACTCAACAAGTAGAGCACCAGAACGTAACCGCTTAATGTTCTTAACATCACCGGCAATACCTTGTATACCCTTCGAGACGGCAAAAGGATTCAATTTCAATGGTGTCAAGTCAACAGTTTCAAGTAGAAGAAAACGTGGCCAATAATCAAGTGAGTTGGGCAGTCTATGGTCAGTCTCAACAGGATCAGTGTCAAGTGTACGCTTGGTCTTTTTTATGGGGGTTTCATAAGCCATGTTTAGTTTTTTTAGAATTCATCATCCGAGCTCCCCACCCACCACGGAGTATCACAAGGACAATGCTAAAACCAAGTGGATTTCCAACTTGCAGCACCAAGGATACCCGGATGATATACTCCAGCAGAAGAATTAAAAGATTAATAGTTCCACCAGATTGGCCCATGAGCCACCGCCTTCTGGGCATAAGACTCTAGGCAAAGTTCATAACATAATAATTCAAAATCACAAACGTTTTAGATAAACAAGTAAGCCCGAAATTAAAACAATTCCAAATGTAATTTGTGCAATGACATATATAGATATAGTCTATACACAGGGCTTGGCGTGACCAGCCGATTGATAGAACCGGGCCAGTTCTACCACCCGTCTAGGTGAAGTAAGGGGCGAAGTGGTGTGTTGGGCAAAGGAACGCTAATCCTGGAACCAATGCCCTCAACCACCAGCCTCCCGTCCTCCACCGACACAGGGGCGCAACCCACGGCAAACGGGTTGGTGGACCAAATATACCCCCGGGTCCACAACGGGGGGTTGAAGGGCGCTTAGCGTTACCCAGCACCCACCACGAGGAGGTGGCCCTTCATGGGTGCAATGTGAGAGACCACTCTGGTGTCGAGAAGCATTGAGAAATACTGTGTCTGTGTAACCTAATCCCTTAGCTCGTCACATCACGTGTTGCTACGCCCTGAATTGTCCTAACAATGGGACTGTGTCCTCGTGTTTACCTGAACACTGTGCATCTGACTTAATCCTATTATATTATATCATATATATTGTGACACGCCCACCTTTTCGCGAAGGCGTTTTGCAAGTACCATCACCATTTTAATAGTAATTCAAAGCTCCTGTAACTCAAAAACTGTATCAGTAATTATTCCTTTTTAAAGTGGGAACTAGGCTGGAGATAGTTAGTAGTTTCATTCAATTCTTTGCTCTCACAGTGCAACGAACAGTTTCATACGGTGCATACCGCCAGATGATCAAGGCCTTATGCCAAGGTCATGTATACGTAATGTTTCAAAGGTCGCCGGCCGATGCGTGGGCATCTGTGGGTTTCACGATGTTACGGCCTGCGACAAATTTCCGCCCACATCTGTGTCACATCGGTTCAGTTGTCACAAAACCAAGGATGATCAGAAGATACCCTTCCAGTCACTGGAAAATTGGAAGATTAATATCGTCAAGTGACTGACGGGTCATCTGGTGGGAATCGGCCGGTCATCTCCAAATCGTTCGGTTCCCGAACAGGCGCCTGTCGATGGATTATAATCGTTCGATTCCGCTCGCTAGAAAAGGAGCCCGCTCAGCGCCTGGTCAATCAAAGTTGGTGATTGACACAATCCATATTTCAGTAGACATAAAGAGATGATGCTCCCTCTCTAGCTCTGCCATCAGAGCCTCGAACTGGCCGTATTTCTGTTATCCTCCGGCGACCATGCCACACCAGCACACTGAAAAAATCGTCCGATTAACTGACGGTTTGGCATGTGCCTGTGGGGTCACTGGTGGGTGACCGGAACATGTGTCACAGATGCGTTATCGATTGGAGTGTGGACCACCGGTCGCCGTAAGAAAATAACTCTGATTTGTCTACGATGTGTCAACGGGGTCCTTCCGTCAAAACCCACGGATGATCGTCAAGCTCCCCGTCGGGTATCTCTCAATTTTGCCAAATTTCATCCTGGCAGCGCCATTAGAGGCCCTACACGTTATGTTAGTTATTAGCAGTTATTGGGAAAACGCTATTTCGTATCGACCTGTGTTTCAGGTGGTCACTCTCCCTGTTAATTGTTGAGTTGACGAGCACAGATTAAAGTGGGTTTACCTACGCTAGTTTTCGGTCGTTGTCACTCACAGGCGCAGGGCTTCGTAAACTAATCTTCACTTGCAATAGTAATTACACAATTTAGATGTATACAAAGTAGGACATAGCAATGCTGTGTGAGAACGGTACGTTATCTGACATAACATCGACCCGGTTCATACATGGAGAATAACCCGTGTCGATTTTACACCAACACAAACACCCAAGCAGTAACGAGTTCCTAGCCTCGACCGAATATCAACGAAGACGATCTGTAGATATACCTGTATTTGTAGCAAGCGCTGGAGACAGAATAGCCAAGAGCAGGACTGCAGCTGTGTGTAAATCCATTGTGTGTCAAATTTAGGATGGTTAAGCCATATATAGGGCGATCCCCGGGTGGGGGGCGTATCAGCCGATTATGTGTGGGTGTTGTGTTGGTGCGATCCGCACATGTACCCGCCGAGAACAAATATCACCCACAACGATGACCGTGCAATAATTGCATAATTTATGTTAATTCCTAACAACGAGATACCTTGCTTACCTCTCAATAATCATTAATCCAATTCCAGGCCGTGCTATTTTATGCCATTACAATCAGGTTTATTATTTTCATTGGACACCATATGCTTTATGACTCGCTGATTGACCCCGTCTGTCCTACTCTCGTGTAGATTCACTGTCAAAATCTTTCGTGCATTTTTTCTCGAAGTGCATAACATAATGATGCTGTTTTAGCAGCTTTTCTGATTGTATGTGGATGTAAATAGACCAGTCGACAAGTGCTACATGTAAAATGTGTACAGACTACATATGATATATACATTTTGTGTAAACAAATAACACTTTGATCTAAAATTGGTCGTCGAAAATACTTTGCCCCAGGAAAACGACCACTGAGTCAAGGAGCCTTGACCACATACATAGTTCAGATTGTGTACTTACTCGTTTATGACTCGTCGGTCATTAGTCGCACAATATTTGGATACTATAGTCACGACGAGTCGATATGTTACATGATTCAAACATATCGTAATCTTTATGAAATACCGACAGAATTATAAGTTTGACTACTACATGTACTCCTACAAGTCGGTGACCGGTGGTCACAATATTCCATGTGGCTGGGTATCATCCTCGGTGAATCAGTATGACCTGGACTTGCATTTCGGTAAACTTGCAATGACACCTGGATTCATCCCCGTGGTTCCCTCGATCTCAAATTATCCGTCCTTGATCTCCATTAAGCAGTTTTGTTTGACAGTTACTCTGGGGGAAAGTGAGTTGTCATTGCGATTTGGGATGCAACCTTCTTGTTAGATTCGGTGATGTATAGGTATACGCGTTGTTTTTGAACTCACCCACGGGGCTGATAATTGGATATTGAAACTCTTGCCCTCTTTTCATAATTTAAAATCTGACAGAAAATCTCTCTCTCTCTCTCTCTCTCTCTCTCTCTCTCTCTCTCTCTCTCTCTCTCTCTCTCTCTCTCTCTCTCTCTCTCTCTCTCTCTCTCTCTCTCTCTCTCTCTCTCTCTCTCTCTCTCTCTCTCTCTCTCTCTCTCTCTCTCTCTCTCTCTCTCTCTCTCTCTCTCTCTCTCTCTCCATGGCATGTCCACTCTGTGCATGTGTACAGATTCAAGGAGGTCACACTCGCTACTTACGCTACTACTCTGGTCCAGGCTCGATTAGTTACAGACCGCCGCCATACTGCTGGAATATTGCTCAGTGCGTCGTAAAACTAAACTCACTCACTCACTCATTTTTATGAAATTGAAGCACAATGAAATTCTCAAAATAATTATATTACCATTTTCATCAACATGTTGTTTGTTAAGTTTTCCTCATTTGAATTTGGTTTTGTGTTTTCAGTGTATGTCAGTATATGTATTGACGTAATCTAAACTTCTCACATATAGTGTATTGGTCATCATAACAAAGCATACTGCCCTCGTGAGAATTAAGTCAGAACAAGCACATGTTGCTGTTCTTTCTGTTGAATGCACATGAATGATACGCTCTGCACACTTGGACACAACACCTATTTGCAATAGATGTCTCACCCGCAGCAAAATGTTCAAGTGTATGCTATAATCATGATCTCAACAGTAGCATATATTTTACAAGACTGACACTTTTTCGTGTGCAATACGTGTGCAAAACTTAAGTGCCAACCCTGTATTTCATGTAAGGGCGTTATCAATTTTTTAGAAGTAGGACACTATCTGTTGCATATCTGTCCTGTAGTGATGTGCTGTTTGTTGGTTGGTTAAGGTCCTGTAACTTTGGATAGAGTCGTCATATAGGGGAAATTGTTAGAGTCTTATGCGCTCAGATTGAAAAAATAAACTACTTAGCTGCAAACCCGTTGAAAATAGGTAATGGGTGGGCTTTTATACAGTGGATGGACTTGCGGTGGGGTGGTGGCTTGTGATGGCGGCGGTAGCGGGTGGGCTTGTAACGGTGGGTGGACGCGCTGGTAGTGGGTGGGCTTGTAACGGTGGGTGGACTTGCGGTGGGGTGATGGCGGTGGTAGTAGGTGGGCTTGTAACGGTGGGTGGACTTGTGGTGGGGTGATGGCGGTGGTAGTGGGTGGGCTTGTAACGGTGGGTGGACTTGTGGTGGGGTGATGGCGGTGGTAGTGGGTGGGCTTGTAACTGGGTGGGTGGACTTGCAGTGGGGTGATGGCGGTGGTAGTGGGTGGGGCTTGTAACGGTGGGTGGACTTGCAGTGGGGTGATGGCGGTGGTAGTGGGTGGGCTTGTAACGGTGGGTGGGTGGACTTGCGGTGGGGTGATGGCGGTGGTAGTGGGTGGGCTTGTAACGGTGGGTGGACTTGCGGTGGGGTGATGGCGGTGGTAGTGGGTGGGCTTGTAACGGTGGGTGGACTTGCGGTGGGGTGATGGCGGTGGTAGTGGGTGGGCTTGTAACGGTGGGTGGACTTGTGATGGCGGTGGTAGCGGTGGCTTGTAACGGTGGGTGGGCTTGTAACGGTGGGGTGGTAGTGGGTGGGCTTGTAACGGTGGGTGGACTTGCGGTGGGGTGATGGCGGTGGTAGTGGGTGGGCTTGTAACGGTGGGTGGACTTGTGGTGGGGTGATGGCGGCGGTAGTGGGTGGGCTTGTAACAGTGGGTGGACTTGCGGTGGGGTGATGGCGGTGGTAGTGGGTGGGCTCGTAACGGTGGGTGGACTTGCAGTGGGGTGATGGCGGCGGTAGTGAGTGGGCTTGTAACGGTGGGTGGACTGGTAGTGGCGGAAGTTGGTGGGCTTGTAACGGTGGGTGGACTTGCGACCGCCGTTGGTGGACTTGCAGCGTTGGAAGTGGTGGAACTCGTGGTGGAGGCGAAGGCGGAGAGGGGTGTAACTGACATGTCTTTAGGTTATGTTATTTCTACTGTGTCGTAACATGACATTGTATATTTATTCACTTGATGCTGGGGTAACTAAGACAATTTACACCTACTACAAGAATAGCCTGCTGCTCTATATTTTCCAGACTGTGTTGACGACGAGAAGTCAAAGAACTGACTCAAGCAGCAGCAATGAATGTACACACAAACTGGTGTGAACATGCAATCATAACATTACCATCGAACGCTTCAACGTAGTCATTTTGACAGCCAACAGAGCTCTCCAGTTGCGAGTTGGTAACGTTGATCTTGACCCGATTGTGCATCGATTTTCAATGTGCGCTCGACATTGCTATAATAAAGAATGCGTGCATTACAATTTACGTCAAGTTTATTAAACACGTCACAATTTAATTCTGGACTCACAAAAGTCCAGAAACTCTCCGCACTGTGGGCACTTCCTGACAAGAGATTTGACCAAATGAAACATGCAGTTGTTATGAATATATGCCAAGGGTGAAAAAATGAAAAATTTTTCGAAAACTTTAAATTTCAAATTTAAACTCGCTCGCCCATGGGCGAACAGTGGCCCATGGGCGAGAATGTTTAATTTCGTTCAGAATTCATGTTTTGGAGGTTGTAAATGAATGAGTGTATGTTTATAGGCATCATGACACAAATTTCAACTCATTTTGACTTAATTCAACTAACTTAGTACGATATTAAAAAATAGATAGAGGACGAGTGTCAGAACACTATCAAGATTTTAACGTATTGTTACAGGAACAAAGTGCGAACAAAGATGATAAAAGTACTTACTTTTATCTATCTTACAGGCAAGTAATCAAGTTGCACGAACCAGACACTGCCGATAGACTCACCACAGACGTCCAGATACATTCAAAGCAGATTACATAATTTTATCTCTAACTGTATATTATATCTGTAACTACTCCAACATGCCCGTATCATTCTGTATCATGCACTGCTGGCTTGTGTCGTGTGATTGCCAGGGCTGTCAAGTATCATGACGTTTGAGAGTGTCAAGCCTGTATACTTCAGTGTACGTTATCAGCATATAAAGTAGTCCACGTGATGACAAAACAGAGACCACCCATAAGTCCAAAGTGATTGTCTGTGCTCAAACTCGCCAGCCGTCCTACCTCGACTCTTTAAGCCCCATAGGTCAACGTTTATGCTTACAGTTAAAGTGTAACCCAATTTAATTTGGTTATTAGGACCCTGTATTTTATCAGCTGCAGCTTAACTGTACTACCAAATTCATAAGCTATACTCCTACTCCTTCTACACACATAATGGCTAAGATAACCTTCTCACTTCTTCCCCCAGTCCTTCCTTCCCCATACCCCGACCCCACCTATTGTCTTTCTTCTTAATTCCAAACCATTATCAATTTATACTCCTTGCTATCATCTTAGTCATACCTACAATTATCTACACTCATTTATCATCTGCTTCACCTTTTTTCATTTTTGGTTTCTGACGTTTCTTCTTCCAAATTAAACCCGTGAAGGTCCGAGTTAGAATGAGCCTTCAGTAACCCATGCTTGTCTACCCGTGAAGGTCCGAGTTAGAATGAGCCTTCAGTAACCCATGCTTGTCTACCCGTGAAGGTCCGAGTTAGCGAGTAACCCATGCTTCAGTAACCCATGCTTGTCGTAAGAGGCGACTAACGGGATTGGGTGGTCAGGCTCGCTGGCTTGGTTAACATATGTCATCGGTTCCCAATTGCGCAGATCGATGCTCATGCTGTTGGTCACTGGATTGTCTGGTCCAGACTCGATTATTTACAGACGCCGCCATATATTTATTATCATGTTTGTAGCCGTTTTCATTCAAAATTCACTTAGGTTAACACCCCATCATTTACATTTTTGGGGTATGGCGGTTTATCCCTTATTATAAACATATTAATTATTACTTTAGCTCCCACCTACCCTGTCGGCGTTATTGGCTACAGCCAGAAGCTGACGTTAAACTCATAATCATCATCATATGTAGTCACTAGGCACTTAAAACATTAGAAGTAATGCCATGGAACAAGTTATCTAACTACAGTATGACGTGATATTGTATAGTAGATGATTTGAGAATACAGAAGCACTGAAAAAGCATCGTTTTTTACCACCAAGGGCATAACACTAGTGACCCAGTTCAGGATCGAGTGATGACTGAAAATGTCAAAAATGCCGCTTCGCAACAATCTGCGAATGATCCAGAGTTCTATCATTTTTATGTGATATGGCTTCACAGAACAACACAAAGGTACTACCTTGTGTTGGAAACTGTATCTGACATACTGCTTCAATGATACATTGATTCATAAAACAGAACAGAAATCACAGCAAGATAAGCCCCAGTACAGTAGCTTATTTATTAATTTGTTAACGTACAACATGCGAAATAACTCAGTGCAATTGGAAATGTGGCTCGTCAATGGTATGCGTGTACGAACAGATAATATCAAAACATACACGTCGGAACAGTCAAAATTAAGAAATTGTTGAATATGAAATATTACTTTTAATTTGTAATTCTTGTAACATAAACAGTATTGTGAGAACTTTAACTGTATTGAAATATGTCTTGTCAATCCTATTGACATTTGCCAATAACCACTTCCAAATAAAATAAATAGTCTATGCTGCTTCAGAACAAATAAAGGTTAATTAGGGCCCCAACTGGGTAATTAAGGAAAGAAATCAATACACTGTCACTTCCTGCCCAGGACGTCACACGTCACCACTCAGGAGCTAAGGGCATTGTCAAACCTTCTCACAAAAGAAAAAAGCATCAAAACTGTGTTTTTATTCTACGTGACACTCGGTATGTCGTCATAGTATTCATTGTTGAATAAATTCTATCGTGGGCAACCCCACACTTGCGAGGTGTACCTACCCAGGTTCGCACGTTTCGTTTTAATATTTTGTGATCAATTATTTTGTAATTCCCGTCTGCCCGTCACGGCTATTCTTCGCCCGAGGTTTTAGGGGAGTACACCCCACCCCCCCCCCGTCCCCAAACCCCTATTTAAATAGAAACATGAAGCAATTCCACATAAATAAACATGCAAAGTACACACAATATGGCAATGCTAACACTGAGACCATTCTGATTTATTTAGCAGAGTAAGATTGGCACTATTTTGGCGGTTCTCACTTTTGCACTCTACTTTTTTACCTGAGGCGTGCAGATTCTTGGAGAGTTTTAGCATTTCATTTATTTGGTTATTTTGGTGTTTTAACGGCTGGGGCCCGCTGAGTGAGTCTATTATAATAATTGTATTTTTATTGTGTTGTTTAACGAGCTGGACATGGAGTGCTGTTATCATGAATGTTATCATATATTAGCGGGATGCATTGATAGTAATGAAAACTTATAAGAAGATATTGTACCTCAACATACAAACCTATCCCGATAGCTCTCATCGTCACTCTCATGTCAATCCATTGTGACTGTTGCAGTCCTCCTGTACATCCTGCATATATAAGCAAGTTGTGTTTTTTATTGAGGATTTATTATTGCTAAACACACATTTAAGCGAGATGAAGAAGGGGGTCTCCAATTCCATGTATGCTTTTGCTCTCATAAGTTAGACATCCCATTTGCCGATTATCAGACAACTTTGGACCAATCAGGCGTGACTGTGATTACAAACCTAGTTTTACCCACTGACGTAATAGACCTATCCCATAGACTAACGAGATGTTTTCATATTAGTGGTTAGTGGTATATTTTAACACTAATTATGAGTTTGTTACTTTTTGTGCAGAAATACTTTGATCAGAATACTAATGTTTATTGACTTCGGCTTCTCACAGTTTGTGTTCATAATGTTCACTTTGATCAAAACAGGATTATAGATTTCCCATGTAACTAACTGAGTTACTCACAGAGGTACAGAGGTGGATACGACGGGCTTTTGGGCTTCCTCTGCTCCCCCTATGAATAACTGACAAGAAACTTGAAACCAAGATCGAGTAAACAGTTAAAACATAAACTCAATGAAGCTGCAAGTTTGCACCTAAACAATTAAAAAAAGCAAAACAACACAAATATTTAATAAGAATAAATAACCATCACTAAACTATCGATAGTCACACATACTATCGATGCATCGATAGTTCTTCATTTCTACCATCGATTAATTGCTTTCGGAATAATTGCAATTCATCGATAGTTTGATGCATCATTACAGCCCTATTAATTAGATCGCTTAATATATTCTTATGCACATACCTTTGGATCAATCCATTACCCAATAAAGGTAACAGTGCAGTGTACCTGAGTGCAACCAACCAATACCTTTGTTGATTTAACGAGTCTGGGACGTCTAACTGATCGGAGGACACCACAGAGTAAGTTGCATGCAATATTTTTAAAATTGCCCTTGTGGATTTCCATTATGATTTGCACACATTATGTTTTGCACACAGTGTACATCACTATCTATGTAATTGTATTATTGTTATGGAGCGGCATTGACATGCATGTTTATGTTTGTTTGCCGGTTGTATCCCATAACCCCTACATGCCACTACCCCTACAGCCTAGTACCCCTACAATTAGTTAAAACAACACACGGCATTTACCTGTCTGGCATAATGAACTGACCCAAAGAGAGATTAGTGCATAGAGAATACAGATGAGATCAAGGGAGGGATTAAACTGTTCTTTAGTGTTTTGTGTCAAGGAAATTTGGGATTAGCTAAAAGTTGTTTTAGTTTCATGATAAACCTCTAGTGAGTAGAACAATTTTACAAACTGGATAATGTGTAGGTTGTTAAATGTTGAAATTGTGTTGAAAAGTTGTTTTAGCGCCATGATAAAAGATACACAGTATTATTGAGAAGTGGAGGGAAATGAGAAGGTGAGACGAGAAAGTAAATTGCGATAGTTCGGTATAGTATATAGCTGTTGACAACAAACTAACATGGCATCAACATGGTTGGTCTGCGTAATGTTGAGTTTGTTATGTCACGGAGACGTAGCCCCCAAGT